GCCCCCCGTGGCCTGCTGCGGGCGGGGGGGGGTGTGCCGCGGCCGCCGTGGGGTGCGGGCGCCCGCAGCGGGGCGCGGAGGCGGCGGCAACGGGGGAGGGGATCCTGTGTCCTCGCTGGGGCTTTGGGGTGCGCGGGGGCAGCTCTGTCCTCGGAGGAGGAGGGGAGGGAGGAAGGGAGCCGGGCTCCTGTCAGCTGCGTGGCCGTGAGTGGCGGGGGTGGCGGAGCCGGGCTCGCCGAGGGGCGGCGGGCCCGTTGCTCACCCTGTGCCTGCTGGCGTTGCCTCACGGGGGGCTGTCCGGTAGGCCTAATGGGGGTGAACACATTGTTTAGTCTGGCTCCTGACTTTAAACAGCTCGTTAGGAGCCTACTTTGTAATGCTTGCTCTGCTCAAAACCGAAATGAGACTCTTTTTTTTCCTCCCTAGTACGCATTTTCTTGCTGAGGAGCTGATAATGCTAATGTTAGTGTTATCAGAACAGTTTCATCACGCAAATATATATAGAGCATTTCTGGGGCCTGCATTATGTTGCTATAATACTTTTTTTTCTGCCTTTTTTTTTTTTTTAATGCAGCTTGGGGTTTGTGTGCTTCTCATATGCTGTCATCTACTTCCTTTCCTGGGGTTTCTACCTCCCACACCCTTCTTTCCACCATGGGCAGGTGGAGGGAATGTGCAATGCATTTATTTATACAGTGTTTCTCAAACCAGAAAGCACTCCTTTAATAGACAGCCTTATCTAGTGCTACTGGGGATGTGCTTTTAGGCTGTTAATGATATTTCAGGAAAGTAACTTAACGTTTTCTCTAGAGGTAAGTTCTGTGGTTTGGGCTTTGTTTTCATGTATGCAGTAGGAAGTTGAAATTTAAAGTTATGTTACTGGAGTTCAGACTAGATATCAAGCACAGTTATATGAGCTTTGTAGGTAATGTTATAAGCCAGCAGGGCACTTCCCAAGGTGTAGAAAAGATACATACTAGTTCTGTGAAGCCAGAGAGATGTGCCTAGACTTTGAATGATGTGTTCTTGCTAATAGTGTATATAAAGAAAAAAAGCTAAGGTGAGATGAGATTGTTCATGTCAGATGAACCATCTGTTGTGTATGTGGAAGTTAGGTGACAAAATAAAGGGCCGTTCAAATGTGCATCTGCAGCTGTGCTAGCTTGCCACTCTTCTGTCTTGACTGCTTTTCCACTATCACAAAGTTGTGTTTGTGAATCTGAAGTTCTGATAGCTTAATTCAGCCTTTAAAAACCATGTGTTTAGAGTCAATTGAACTAATACTATTAGTAGGCCCGAGAAAGCACATGGTCGAGTACATGAAGGATTAAGAGCTGTTGCCAAACTTAAATCGCTACTGTGAGGTAAAACTGTTCATTAATATCCAGAATTAATTAGGAGAGGGTGTTTGGAGTCCGATTCTTGGCAGCAGATCGTAACAGGAAGACCTTTCTTGCTCCAATTTTTGTCAAGAATCATTCTGAAAGAAAATAAGTCGTCATCACTTCATCTATGTTTTGATTTCTTACAGTAACAATACCACTTTCTGTAGTAGAGTCTGGCACAAGCCTAGAGACTGTGTGTTAAATGCTTCCTTGAATACTTGTTCATTCCTAATGTCTGGTCTGGAAACAGTCATCTGGAATGTGAGTACATTGAAGGGAGGGGTTTTAAGAAGGATGAGTAAAAATGGTTCAAGTATTATATTTCCTGACTTCAGAAGATGTTTTTAATGAGGATTTTTTTTAGTAGTGAGTCTTTAACTGTAGGTTTAAACCCTAACTCTGTAGTCATAAACTTTGCTTAAATCAATTTATTGAAAACTTGAGGTGAATGCAAGAAAACTCAGGCCTAAAGAAGTGGGCGCTATTTTTTTTAAAGACATAATATTAATACAGATTATGAAGAAGTTGAACATTGGGGGCTGGGGAAAGAATATTAAGGAGTCTATGGGGAATTAGCAAAAGCAGCTAAAAAAATGGTAACTGTGTGTTCCAGCCAAAGCTGGCTATCTTCTGCTTATCACAGAAACGATGGCCTTCTACTTCTTCTGTTGATCATTCATTAAGAATGTTGAAAAACATCTTCTCTTACTTTTTTCTGGTTGCCCATATTATTTGATTCTCTAGGGTTTTTTCCCCTTGTTTGCAGACTAAGAGGTAGACATTCTCTCATTCTGCCTGAAGAGAGGAAGTGATTCTTCCTCTGACTGTCCTGCACCTACCATGGCTAACTTCAGCAATAGGCGGAGGTTTTCATACTGTCTCATTAACTGGTGGGACAAACAAGCACAGTCATATACTTGTAGGAAACTTCTGTACCTATTCTCTCAAAAGGCAGCGCTCAATGGCTTTCCCTGCCCCTTCTGATTTTACTTACCTAACTGAAAAACATTCCCTAAACTTATTGCCTGATAGGGAATCTCAGTTCCTACAGAGGAACTGCTGGAGAGTAAGTTTTGTAAATAGTTAGCCAGCAATTGCAAGGAGACTGGAAAAAAGATTTGTATTCAGGGTGAGGGTTGACCTATATCTTAATCTTGTAGTTGCACTAAAATGAATACGCTGCACAGATTGTAGCTGGGAACAATTTACTTGCTGCCAAGGATACTTTGATACTAGTCTTGCCGAATAGATGCCACTTAAGGATTTTGCTTAACTCACTGCATAATTTAGAGGTTCATGTAATAGGAATAGCATCTATGCTATGGAGACTGTTTCTGTGCTGAATTTAACAGTTGAAAAATTGATGAGAAGCAATTCGAGGTAATTTTTTTCTTAAGATTTCCTTTTTTTCCTGCAAGAATAGGATAAACAGGGTTTGCATTCTCTTTCAAAGTCTACCTAGTCACTTGTGCAAAAAGAACATTGAAAGAAATGACTAAAAATACCACAGAAAATCTCTGACGGATGCTCTAAAGCAGTCATTGCCAAACCTTTTTTGTTCATGCACTTCTCTCTCAAAAAAAAAAAAAAAATTAACATGTTTAACTTAGGAAAAAATACCTGTATATACTACTGTACTAAGATTATGTTAGTACATCATAAAATGTGCACAAAAACAGAAATGAAAAAAGAATGATATAAAGGTGAAATAAACACTGTATTAAGAAAAGATGTATTAACAGTACAAAAAGTATTTTCTTCCTGCATCCCCACTTTGGAGATCACTGGTCTAGAGCATGCAAACTCTAGTTGCTTTGTTGTGATAGTGTTTGAAGCTTGAAAAGCTTGGTAAAAACTGGAAGGAAAACTGACTACAGTGATCAGTTAGGGCACTCATCAGAGCTTTGGGAGACTGCCAACTGCTTGCATTTACTGCATTTTTGGCTATTTCCCGAAGGTGAGTGACCATTCTAACATCGATGGTATTTCTTGTCTGGTAGTAGTAGTCCTTTAGCTTTATAGGCTGTCAGCTGATTTGTTCTTCTAATACAGCAAAACTTTGGAACTGTTGGGCTCCCTCAAGCTAACGACGTTCTCACTGAATCACACTGCAGAGCTCTTCTTTTTTCTACCCCTCTCTCTATAGTGCTCTCTTGAAAATGGTAATTCTCACAAAATGGTAGGATCTTTATCCAGCATACGGTAGGATCTTTTTATCTAGCATAGGCTGCCACAGTACTTTTGCTATATTTAAATAGACTGATTGAACACTGGTCTTTCTAACTGAGGAAAAATGAATACATTTTAAAGCTGATTTTAATTATATAGGAAGTGGTGGATGGTTGAAACAAGTGTTTAGCTGTATGAAGTGCTCTGGAGTCCTAGCTGGGCATGAGAGCACCCAGCAGTGTCTACAGCTCAGCACTGTTTGCAAGTGAAACATTCTGTACAATGTTGTCAGCTGCCTGTTTCAGCCACAAGTGTTTTTGCCTACTTTTTCCTTTTAATATATCATTGCATGTCCCTAATTTGTTTAACAAATGGTAGGATTAATTTCCAATTGGCCTTTTCAGAAGGGGTTTATAGAATTAGGCAGCCTTGGTAACAGACCCAAATTTAACAAAAAAAGGTTAGTTACCTTTTCTAATTTAACTGTGGGAAAACAAACGAAATGATCAGCTTTAATCTCTGAAGCAGGTGCACAAACATAACATCTGTGACTTTGTTCAGTAGTTGAGCCTTGGCTGTTAAGCTGTTCTTAGGTCAAACTTTGACCTTCCATAGATCTTTCATTAACACTTTCAGAATAGTTTTCTTAACTGTTTCTTAGAAGTAGACACACTTCTATGAGTAGCGGGTGCATATTAGTCAGCAGTTCTGTGAAATAACAAGGCTGTAAGTGATCCCTCCTCTACTCACATTATTGGTCATCACTGCAACCTCATCTGCCTAACTTGCAAGAAAGTCCCAGAGCTAAGAACAGTTAAACTAATACTTTGTTGTTGCTTTAGTGCTGTTTTGGAACCACTGTTTTGAAAACAATTATTCAACTTCTTAATAACAAAGCTGGTTCCTTCAGAGATAATTTAAATGATGCAATAGAAATGAAATAGGTTTATTTACTTTCAAGGAAGAAGAGCAAATGTTTAATGAGCTCTATCTCATGTTGCTCAGATGTCTCTTGCCTTTCAATTTAGTAAATCTTTTGCTTTGCATATGAAGTTACAGTAAAATTGTTTTGATACGTGTGCATAGATAATATACCCTATTTATATTTGACCTTGTCTGGTCTTTTGTTGTAAAGTCAACCTTCCACAAACTGAAATCAGTTAGTAAAGCCTTCACCGAAAAGCTAGCATGGTCTAGTGCTGTCAGGCATATAGGCTGACTTTGAGCAGACAAAAACAAACACCCTAGCTGGTATAGCTGTTATTTATAACATGATGTTTGTTACTGCAGTAACAGGTACTGTATAAGTCCTTTGTATGTATTAATAGCAACATACAAGCTACTGGGTAGGTTAACCCTGTCTTAGTTTCCCCCCGCTCCAGAAGCATGTCTGAATCTCTTGACAAGCTCTGGAGTTTGAAGTTGTAGGGGTGGCATTTGGTTTTAGATCAAAATTATTTAGGATAGTAGAATGTAATCTGTGGGAAACATGGTAACTTCAAATTTGTCTCATAGTTTCAAAATAGAAAGGACCAGCAAGTATCCTAAATGCATACTTACTTTTACTGTATTTGAAAACCAACTGTTACGTGGTGATCTGAAGTGTTGAAGTTCAGTGGTAGAACTTCTTATGACTTAGCACAATCAGCCTTATCTGTTAGATTCCTCAAGCTGGTAAGCACTGTGGTCTCTGCCAAAAATGCAGCTAGCCTTGTTTTTTCTTATGCCTCTTTTGGTGTTTGTTCTTATGCTGTCTCGGTTGCTACTTGCAGGATCTGTTTCATCTGGAGTGCTCTTTGCTGTCTCCACTAGTCTTTCTGAAGGGCTCTACATGCTTTCATTTTTGGACCTGTAGGGTACAGCTGCTTACCCGCACCGACTGTTCTAGATCCTTTTAAATCCTGTGTCTGCTGGCAAACTTTTTGAGCTTTACATCCTCTTCAGTATGCTCAACAGACTATTATCTATTTGTCTCAGTTGCACTCTCAAACTTCTTGTCACCTTAGTTTGCAGCTTTACTTAAGTCTTAGCGTTTTTTCTTGGTTTTTGTTATGCTGTTACAGCTTAAAGTTGATCCTCATCTTTTTACTTGTTCTAATCAAAGGTTATACTGCAAACAACAATGTGGAAATCGCTTTCTGGAATCTGGCTTCCAAGATTAGCCCTTTCCTTGCAAATACCCACAGTTGCTGTGTTACAGTAATAGTCTTTGAAAGATGAACCGATACTGTCATGTTTATAGTTTGTCACTTCAGAGATGATTTGTCTCTGTAAGACACTTCACTTGCATGAGGATGAAAAGTACGCAAGTTTTGTTTGCTGCCAAATGCTTACAGAAAGTCAGCAGAGTTCTGTAAACTTTTGTAGAGTTTTGCTGGCATTCAGTATTTCTGCAGGTAGTCTTTAATAGCTAACCATAACATACTAAATGGTGTATCTCATGTACAGGGCATTAACTTCTATCAGTTTAGGTACCATTTCTAGTCATAGCGCGGGTCTCCAGCCTGTCAATGCCTTACCACTGCTATAGGGCATTACACACCCCAGAGTCTCAGAAGGGGGTATTTCTAAATGTAGTAGGAGTTAGTGGCAGCTTTGCTTAGTCATCTGTTTATATTTTGAGCTTTTATTTTGGTTTAAGTGAGTTGTGTACCAGAGAAAGGGAGGCCTGTAGCATCTTCTTTCAAATGTGGGGGGGGTGTTTACCCATATGAGGTGGTATCAGAGACTGATGACTGGGAACAGTCACATTCCAGCTGTGATAATTTTAGAGGCTTTCAGTCAAGGTGATAGTGCAAACCAAGTTGTTCGAAGCACAGTGAGTAGCCCATTTAAGTTACAGGAACAAAGAAAATAAGAGAGACAATTCTGCAAAACAATGGTAAAACTGTCATAAATAAGCTTTTCTGATTATCATCTCCCTCCTTTTCACCTCTATTCCTTTAGGTCTCTGCCTAGTAGCCTTTCTTCTTTACCATTTCTTATCTTTGCGATCTTTCTAATCAAATATCGTATCATAGCCTGTTCAGATAAGAAAGATGACAATTAAACAAGGCTTGCAGCTCTTGAGCAGTATCTTAAAGACAAACTAATTTCTCACAGTTCTGAAGAGAGACCTCTATATAAAGGTTTGAATATGCTGGTCAGGCAAAATTAACTGGCATTCTGTAAAGAACAATGTTTAATTATAACTGGAGTGGTATTAATGTAACTTTCTGGTCGCTACTGAAGCTCTTTATATTAAGCTGATTTGGTGACTAAAAACCTTAGGTTCCATAGGCCCTTTTCACTTGATGCGTACCTCTTTAAGTGGTTTAGTTGGACTGGAACAATTCAGTGTGTAGTAATAATCTAGAGGATTGATTTGGGGTAAAGGGGGGGGGGGGGGAAATCCACACTTTATTCCAGTATTGGACACACAGTTGTGTTGGCATAATTTAAGGAAGAAGAGGATCATGTGTGAAACATTTGATTCTTCCTGACAACACTAACAAGGTCTTTCTGAAGTGCATTAGTCAACTTAGTATACTAGAATATTTCAGAACCATGGTACAATATTATAGCTAAACTTATTTTTATTTTTGAGAAAATTACTCATGGAAAAGCTTTTTACTGACTTATAACATCTCTTCTAGATGAAGAGGGAAATCAAGATGAATCACTGGAGTCAAAGGTGAGGGAGTAAGTTTCTAGTCATTCTGTTTTTCTTGTGGAGTGAGAGCAAAAGTCTGAAATTCAGAACTATGATTTGATTCCTGTTTTAAACTGTTCTGTAGCTCTTGCTGTCTCATTAATTTCTTCTGTGCATCAGAAGAATTAATGTTGTGTTATACCTTTGACTCTATCCCTTGCAGTTCTTTAAAAAAGCCCTTTTTTTTAATGAGAGCTGATAGAGGTAGTTCAACTTACTTTTGATGCTACTGTTTAAACTTAGTGTGTTAATTAATCATATCTTTTAAAAGTAACAGGGTTTTTTGCCAGCTGCTGCTGTTCAGTTTTTAATCTTCTAAATTCTGTGGCTGCTTTCCTTCAGACTTTATCTGCAGAGGATCAGGTAAAGGACCATTCCACAGGAACTCGAGTGGTAGCAGGTCAGATCTTCCTTGAATCAGGGAAATCAGACTCTCGATCAGAGGATGCAGAGAACTTTCACAGTCAAGAGGAGGAAAAAGAGAATTCGCTGGAAGAGTTGAACTCTCTAGAAATGTCAAATCTATTAAATAAGGATTTGGAAGAAGCAGAAATACAGAGTCCAGGTAACTGCTCACAGACTTTTGAACAAGTGGCAAGAAAGATGCATCTGAGTAACTTTGGCATCTGGATGAACACAAATAGTAATTTTGAACATACGAAATAACTAGTGTCTTAACCTTTCTGGAATGGAATGGTAATTGCTGCCTTTTCCATTAGAAAGGAACATCAAAAAGTTTTCAAATGTATTGCGATTGAAATCTGAGTGGTTATTTTTAGATGCATTTGAAAGGGTTTTCCATAATTCTTGTTGTTTCCCTCTTCTTGGAAAGCTTTAACTATCAAATGGAGAAAGCCCTGATTTCTTCAAATAGGACTCAAGTACATATACTATGCTGTGTGTATGTATACCAACCATCGAAGGAGAAATTGCATCAGTGTTTCAGCCTGCTGGCTGTTTACCTGGAGAGTCAGTTGACAGAGAAGGAACAATTGTGATGCAAAGACAAGCTTCCTAGGATGGCATTGGGAGCCTTAGGGCAACATCTAAATTGCATGTAAACTTCTTCAGTAAGTTTTTAAATGTAGGTAAAACCTTATGTCCTTGTGCCTAAATTCCCAGGAAATTGTAGTACTTCTTTTTTACTACTAATAAAAATATAAATTTAATATGATTTTTTGACTTGCAGTTAGTAGTGGATGACAACTAGATGACACAGTTGAGTAGCCTATGCAGCAAAGACTTTTCCTTTTCACTTGTTCATAAGAAGTAAATCTTCGACTTCACTGAAAAAATATAGTACATGGTAATATTACTATTTGTCTATCTTCTCAACTCGGATTCGAATGTCAAAAGAAAGCAGGAGTTATGAAAATGAGCTCTTTATATACTAACTTTTAGTGTTTTCTAATAAGCCTTACTAATACAGATCTAGTGTACAGTTTGTAAAAACTCAGTAATAGGATTAAGTATTGCTGTCGATAGGTGTGGTGTTGTACAGGAAAAAGGTATATAAAATCCACTAAATAGCTTGCTGCCATGAAACAGTGAGCTAAGCACCATATTTAGTGCAGTCTATTTCAAAAGTGAACTTTAAGATACTTTCAATCTCACATCAGAAAGGTATAACCAGATGGCTTGCTCCCTGGCAACTAAGGTTTTTAACTACACCTGTCAAAGTACTGGAAGTGACTTTCAAAAACCATAAATTTAAGTCTTGCCCAGTTTTTGGAACCTCTTATGAAGTAAATAAGCGATGTGGATGGAAGGATTACTGGTTTTATTTAAAAAGCAATTCTGAAGGAAAAGTACTTGTATTGTGGCAGGAAAAAAACTTACTAAAGGACAGCTTTACTGGCAAACTTTTTAACTGAGCAGGACAGGGATCTACCTCAAGTACAGATGTTAAATCTCTTAAATGAGCTACTGGTGACAGGACTGCATTAAGGGAGATTAAAGCTTTTCTAAATACAGTTTGGCTCCTGTGTATGGTCATGAGATTGCATGGAAAAAAATATTCTTCAAGTTTCCACATGTATTTTGCAGGATATTGAGCAGAAAAAAATTTCATCTTCAGTAATTTAGAATTAGTACTACTAAGGCTTTTAGCCTTCTAAGAAAGAAGTTGTCCTGCTCTCCTCTGATTAGTGAGGGGGTCTTGTGTGTAAAGAAAATGGTATTTTATAGTTACTTATTTTGTGTTGTATGTTTTTGTAACAAATCAAGTTCCATACTAACAGATTTTGCTGAAACTGCCCATGAGAAAACTGCCCATGAGTTTATGCAGAGCTGGCAATTCCTGCTGTATTTGTTTTCCTAGTTGGAGGAATCTTGCAGTAATATAACCAATACTTACAAGTAACCTATATTTGGGTTTCCTGCAGCATAACGTACGAGATGAGATATAAGTAAATAAGGACAAAACATAATGATAAAACACCATATACTTTATTCAGACATAGTAAAACAGGTAAATTGCTACTTGCACACTTAATTTACTCAGATAAATTACTTTTTGTCAAACTATTTGCCTCAGTTTGCATTTATCATTTTTTAAGTACATGATAAAATAACTGTGGTGAGCATTTTATTCTGTGATTGCATCGCTGTGCTGCTTTAGGGATTAGTATATGTTACTATCTGAGGGGAAAACCAGCATTATGGTTGAATTTAGAATTAAAAAAAGGCAAGGGGGAGGACTGGGGCAGAGTAATTTCATAACTTCAGTGTACAGCTAACTCTCATGCAGAGCACTGTGTAAATGGTTCATGTCCAATTGCTTTCGATACAGGAGGCAAGGTACTAAACAATACAAGTAAAACTTCAAGTTCTCAAGTAGCGTTAATACCCTGGACATGGAGTTTGTTCAAATGACGGTGATAAGAGGTCCCATCAGTTGTAGTTATATGTACCCTTAGCATGAGTTTCTGCATTAGGCTGTGGTTAACAGATGTCTAAAATTATTCCGGGCTAATTGCATCTGGACGCATTATTTTTGAAAGCAGTTTCTGAAAATAACACTTTTCCTTGTGTGTTATGGGATAATTAACTTGGAGTGGTGTGGTGGAACATCTGCCAAGGAATCAAATTATGGAGAGCAATTTGAACAGGCTAACTAATTCTGGAGACTTCCTTATGCTTCAAAAAATCAACATGAAATTTTTAAATTAGTATGGTCTCTAGGCCTTACAATTATAGACCCTAGAAAAAAGAGCTAGCTTTCTCTATAACCACAAGAATTACAAACTTAACTTGAAAAAAACACCGTATAATTGACATTCTCAATTGCGTGACTTTGCAAATGTCTTCAAAAGAAGCTGAACCCAACTGCTGGATTTAGCTTAGTGAAAAACCTTTATAAAAGGCTAACTGAAATAATTTCATTTTCAAAAAACAAAGATAATTCTTAGTCTTCATAGAAGATTGATTTTATTTTAAAATATTGCAATATTGGAATCAGTAACCTTTGAAGTTCTAGTGCATGAGAAATGATAAATCATGCTGTTCAAAGTAACTTTGAATGCAACTTAAATATATTGGCGAAGTGAAATAGTGTTTTCAAGATCAGTATATGCAACAATAGAAAATGACTGGACTTGTAGTGATTTCATTTAAGTCTTTTCTTACAGTTGTATGTTCTAAGTGTACTCTTTGCTTATATTCAGGTACTTTTAGTATCACATTTGGTGATGTGAGTGGTTCTGTCATGATTACATCTAACCCTGGGGCTAAAATGAATACGTGCACTGGAATGCACTTCAAGGGTAGTCTTTTGCATGAGGAAGGGAGTGCAAAGAAGAGAAAGTGAAAGGAAGGGCTGTTTATTTTGGTAGGCAATAAAAATGGAATCGAGACTTGCCTTCTCGAATCTAAACAAAAAAATTTTCTTTGCTTAGAACTAAGGAATATAAGAAACATACCTTCTGTTTCATTTCCTAATTAAAAATAAGAATAATTTTTTTTTCAAGTGCTATTTAGAAAAATAATTGCTTTTTCAGGCTTCTGTAAATTAGAAATGTTACTGAAAACTTGATTAAATGCAGTTCATAGAAATTAAAACCAACCTAGGAGTGCTTTCCTATATGTAGTAGATGACTTTTATTTGTGGACTAAAGGAAAGCAGTCTTAATTCCTGGGTTTGTATTTTTAGTTTTGACAGCTATTGGAGGCACTGCAGATGGTGAACCTTGCCACTTCCCCTTTTTGTTTATGGAGAAGGAGTATGCAGAGTGCACTGCAGATGGGAGGGAAGATGGCAGGCTTTGGTGTGCAACAACCTATGATTACAAGAAAGATCAAAAGTGGGGCTTCTGTGAAAGTAAGTAACCTGATGTCTTGTTCTTGTCCAAGGAATGCTTTAAGCTAGTGTTTTCAGTCCTCTTAATGCCCTTTATTTCAGGGTCTAGAAGTCCCTGTCATATATTAATGGCAACTTTATACTGTGATATACAAGTAATTATAAAGGCAAAGTTTTCATGATGGAAAAGATTATAATGCAAATGCCACTTCCCAAAGCTATTTGGGAAATCTTGCAGTGGAGGCATCTATAAAACCCTTAGTTTCTGAGGCTGTAGGAGTATAGAGGTTTGACAGTGTTTCCCATTTCCTTGCACAGCTTGCTTTGGAGCAATGAAAAGAATATTTTAACAGCAAACTCATACATGAGAGACATGACATGAGAAGAAACTGTCTACCAAGATATCCAACACCTCCTTTAGACAGCTTTTTGTATTCACTTGGGTTGTTTATTGGTCTTCAGAAACATATTTCTGGCTGTATTTTCCCTTTAGAACCAATAGGAATTTTGAGAGAATAGTCTTGAGCTGTGTAATTGGAGCTCTTAATGTACTCTTCTTTTTTTAGCTGAAGAGCAGTCTAATAAGAGAAGGCAGATGCAAGAAGCTGAGGATGTTTATCAGACTGGGATGAAAATCCTTAATGAAAGCAGTAAAAAGGCTCAGAAGAAAGAGTAAGTCTACCTCTTCCACCCCCACAAGAGAAGGATGAAATGGCTGATCACTGGCTTAACTGAAAAGTAACTTGAATGAGTTGCCCTGGGACTTTGCACTTTATTGGACTTAGCATCAAACTATGCAGTGATAGTGCTGAAAATAAATAGTAATTTCAGGATATTCGGAAAAACAAATTTATGCCTCCTTTCCTCTAAATCCACTAAAATTGTAGAAGATTAATTTCTGAAGAGTGGATATCATCAAAACATTGACTTAATGCAAGATGGTACTGCAGTTCTCTAGCTACAATTTATACGTGGCAACTGCCCGGAAAAAAACTGAGAGTGTGATACAAGATAATTGTCCTTTCTCAAATGTTTCTTACAATCTGGTTCTCATTCTGCTTCAGAGATCAAGTGGGAAGAACCAGCACTTCTTGTCCTGCTCTGCTTTTGTTCTTGCTTTCTGATATTTTCAGTCACCATAAAAATAATATTAAACTTAATCTCAGCGAATTGTTAAAACTCTAATAATTAACATTGTATGAGAGAAAAGGGTAATGCTTGTAGATGAAACAAAAAAAAATGTGTGTTGTGTTCATTCTGGTCTGTTTACTCTCTACTCTGTATATATCCAATTACTGATTAAATAGTTGTCAGCTTACCACTATAATTAAGAATAGCTATGTTAATTTAAACTCCCTGGTACTCATGTTGACAACTTCATCAGTAAGTGGTGACTTCAGGCTGCTGATTATTATGTGAGCACTATGACCATGTTAAACTTCCTTGTGGAGATAAGGGAGCATATTTCTACTTTATGTATCAGGGAAACTGAAGCACAGCTAGAGGTTGTCCACCGCACCTTGGCAAAGACAAAGGGAGACAGTATCTGTTAGACTCTGACTAGTATTCTTTTGTATAAAATAGTGTAGGAACTGTAAAACAACGTTAGAACTTAGTTCTCTTGAACACCTTACACTTTCTTAGAAGATGAAATTATGTGAGGAACCAGGTGTGCCTCAGCCTCTTGTAAAGAAAGAGAAGTCTGAGAATAGAAAAGAGGAGAGGTAAAGAAAAATCTTGGAATGCTATCAAAAGTCCCATGAGGCATCAAGCTGAAGCATGCTTGACAGTACTGTGTTACGATGTTTAAGGTTACAGTTTTTTAAATTGCTGTGAAACCAGCTGCTGTGAAATTACTTAGGAGGACTACTATAAGTTCTGAGGCTGAAATAGAAAGGGGAGTTTCCAGAGAACTTTCTCATTGTTAGCATGACTGTTTCATCACAAAATTGATCATGTATGCAGTTGTATTGGACCCAACACTTAGTGTGTTCGCTGGAATGATTTTGTACTAAACAAATCAAAGAGACTCCATGGTCTTTCAGGCTTCTCTTTTCTCTTGTGATCTGTGAAGCTGTCAGAGTAGTGGTCCTACTAGATACCTAGTACAGGACTTAAAATTGTTGTTACAAAAATGTGATCGTTTGACCTTAAACTTCTCTTATATCTTATGGGGAGGAAATACATAGTGCTTTGCATATGGAGTAGAGTGAATATTAAAATCCAGTTTGTCCATTAGCTAAATCATATGAGTTGTTGCATAGATTGACAATTCGGAGCTGGAACAAATGACTGTAGGTAGATGCATTTGTAGAAAACAGAGGCTAAAACAGAGGAACAAAACACCTCCCCAGAATCTTCAGGTTTATGAATGGAATCTGCTTCTTTGCCTTAAGGTGACTAAGAAATTGTTTTCTTTTAAGAGCGTATCAATATCTTCTGAAAGCAGCTGACATGAATCATACCAAGGCAATGGAGAAAGTGTCTTATGCTTTGTTGTTTGGGGATTACCTGAAGCAGAACATCCAGTCATCAAAAGAACTATTTGAAAAACTAACAGAAGAAGGTTCTCCTAAAGGACAAATGGTATGTATGTCCTTAGATTCTACATAATTTATAAACCTATAAAAACTTGTTTTATAGAGTGTACGTATTCTAAGGTGGTTTAACAGATTATTCTTGCGTCCAGAATAGAATGAGAACAGTAAGTGCTGTCTGTTGCCTGGTTAAAAAAGACAGCAGATGGAGTGCTGCTTTTTTAAATTGTTTGAAAACTTGATGTAAAACGTTCAGTTCAGGCTCTGATTCAGGAAATGTATTTTATTAATGCTTGCCTAAGCATTTCCTAATTCTGACTACTCATTGCCTTTACCTTTTTAAATTTTACCAGTGCCTTGCTTTGGTTCAAAGATTGTCCCCCAAATGCTTCTGCTTTACCTGGCTTCTGCATGCTGCTGGCATTACTGAGGGTGCAGTAACAAATGGCACCTGCACCCTCAGGGTAAACACATGGAAACGGGTCTTATCTTTGAGTTTAAAAAAAACAGCGTTAAACTACCAGTGATATAGTATGGTGGTGGTCTTTTCATTTAATTTCTGATCTGTTGTATGACTGACTAGATTGTATATGTAAGTCAAAAAACGGGTAGATACAGGTGACTCTAGCCAACAAATCTTCTCTGAAACTCTGTTACTTTTTTCTTGTGGTTTGTGTGGGATGTTGTGGCTTTTCATTTGCAGTATTATCTTTGAGATGGGTGTGTGTGTGTACACACACGCACACACACACAAAATGTAGGAAGTTACAAACTCCTAGGAATCTTGACAGCTGTTTAGTGCAATGGGACTCACTTTGTCCATGTTCAGAATTGTTCATATGTAATTGTTCACATTTAATGTCATAAAATGTGGGTGTTATCAATTAATGTCTCAATATCTGCATATACTTATTGTTTAGTTCTCTCTTGTTTTGGAAGTGTCAGCTTCTTTAGGAATTACCTAGTTTCTTTTACCTCTTTGGCTACCAAGTCTCCTGCTGTTCCCTGTTTAATGTTGGAGTGCTGATTTACCATAGAAAGCAGGAACATGTTTTCTCTAGAGACTTTATATCTCAATGAAGACCTTGACTTTTATTGGTCTAGAATTCAATACTGTCAGCGTGAGGTGACTTTTTTTTGTGTGTGTGTGTGTGTGTGTGTGTGTGTGTGTGTGTGTGTGTGTGTGTGTGTGTGTGTGTGTGTGTGTGTGTGTGTGTGTGTGTGTGTGTGTGTGTGTGTGTGTGTGTGTGTGTGTGTGTGTGTGTGTGTGTGTGTGTGTGTGTGTGTGTGTGTGTGTGTGTGTGTGTGTGTGTGTGTGTGTGTGTGTGTGTGTGTGTGTGTGTGTGTGTGTGTGTGTGTGTGTGTGTGTGTGTGTGTGTGTGTGTGTGTGTGTGTGTGTGTGTGTGTGTGTGTGTGTGTGTGTGTGTGTGTGTGTGTGTGTGTGTGTGTGTGTGTGTGTGTGTGTGTGTGTGTGTGTGTGTGTGTGTGTGTGTGTGTGTGTGTGTGTGTGTGTGTGCTTTCAGAATTGCCTAGAATAGTCTTAGCACACTGTGAAATATAGACACCTTTTTATATATATATATACACACACACACACACACACACACACTCTGTTATCTTCTGTGCTGGCTCTCCTCTGAGCCACACAGCTGTAACAGGTGTTACAGATAGAGCAGTAATTATGTAAATTTTAAGAATAAAAATAACTTTCGAAAAAACCTCAGCCAAACAGCTCTGTGCATAGTCATAAATGCAACTAACCCATTGCAGAACAGATGCAAAATAGTAATTTCATAGGATCTGTTAGACAGTAAATCAAACAGTAAGACTCTTCTAGAGAAGGTCATGGTTCGTGTATGTTTGCACTGGTGTATGAGACAAATAGGATACATGAATAACCTGACAGATACTGCTCATCTTTACTTGAGGGTCTTTAAACTGGGATATGTTTACTGTTCAGGACTTTTGGATCTACATTGGGCATTCAGGGAAGTAGTAGTTTCTTCCTTGCATTCAATCCACTAGACTGAATTCTGGCGAGATGTATTTATGTTAGCGTCCTAGGCAACTGAATAATTTAGAAACATCATACTTTAGGCCCTTCCCCGCCCCTTTTAGATACAGGAGGTAGCAAAGTGAAGGTAGAGCTTGGCATATTCTTTGCAGCTTTGAATTGTTGTTTGACTTCTTTATATTTATGTATTCCAGGAAAACTGATCTTGGATTTTTCAAAGGATGTGCTGACAAACTTTATTTTATTTCTAGGCTCTTGGATTTCTATATGCATCTGGTCTAGGAGTCAATTCTAGTCAAGCTAAGGTAACTTAGAAATCTTCAGTGTGTGCTCCTGTATTTTGTCTTGGAGGCAGATGTTAAATAACCAATGATTTTGTTTTAAGGCCCTGGTGTATTACACTTTTGGAGCTTTAGGAGGAAATCTGATCGCCCATATGATCTTGGTAAGTAAGATAGTTAATAACTACACATGCAAGAACTTTTTTGTACTCTTGAATTTTTAATGTAAGATTTGCATTCATTTGAATACACTGTCCAAATATTAGATCATCAGGCATGCATTGGGTGGGCAATAGTATCTTCCCCATTATTCCTTGTTAACTTAAGGAAAAGTCTGCTCATTTTAAGCTGTATACCACTATGAATTTAGATGGACCATGTTTACATCTCTTGACTTAAAGCAGAAGTGTCAGACTTAATTTTTATAGGCTAATGAGAACTGTGAAAGCCAGAGATCTGTACAGAAGATGCCGCTTTAATCAGTATTGTGAGATTTAAGACAAATAAAGTGCAACATGTGTAAGTAAAAGGCTTTAGGTTTTCACCCATAAGTATCACTCTGCTTACTTGCTTTTTCCTGAGTAATATCTGAAGTATATTGGCTACGCTTAACCTTTAATGGTATCAGTCACTTGCTACTAATGCAGGCACAATGGACTTGTGGCCTTTGTTTTGCCCATTGTCTTGTCAAATCTTGCTCAAGTAATGTGAAAAAAAAGTTTGTAACCTGGCAAGCGGTATGTTGTCAAATAACCAATAGTCCCATATTTTTGTATTTTCCTTTCTAGGGTTACAGGTACTGGGCTGGGATAGGAGTCCTTCAAAGTTGTGAATCTGCTCTCACTCACTACCGACTTGTAGCTAATCACGGTAAAAACCTTTTACTAGGCTAATGTTCTTGACTTTCTATGTATTTCTATATCATTCACCTAGAAGATACTAGAAGTACTATCAACACTAATAGTATAAAAATAAAGAATCCTTGCTATTAAACAAGTTATCTGTTTGGCTCTGAATCATGATATGCTATTTTTATCTCTATCTATTGAAATGTCTTTAATTCTTAGAGTGTCAATTCATTCTCTCTGAGTAACAGTTTGAAGCTATGTAGAGATCTGTTTTTACTAAGTTGCAGTGTAATATTTGTATTGGACAAAACTGTCTGAAAATTTCTCTTATCTGTTTTCCAGTTGCTAGTGACATTTCTTTGACTGGTGGCACAGTGGTTCAGCGAATTCGCTTAGCAGATGAAGTAGAAAATCCAGGAATGGCAAGTGGGATGCTAGAAGAAGACTTGATTCAGTATTATCAGTTTTTAGCAGAGAAAGGAGATGTACAAGCACAGGTAAGATTAAGTTCACCTGATGGCATGCAGAGGTTTTCCAGAATTACAGGATCAGCTTTATGAAATGTGGAAAGACATTGGAGCTTTAGTTTTCTCTTCCTCCTAAATCAACCTGGTTGCTATTTCCTGATTAGCTTCTATGAGAAGAGTATTATATTTTAGTGTGTTTAAGGTAGAACTTGAACAGAAAATGCAAATTTTTGTGGAAAATAAGTCCAAAACATTACAACTTTAGTATCTTAGGAAAGAGGATCTTCGCTTGCACTGGAACCAGCCAGAGTAGTTTAAGGATAGCTTTAGATGTTGTGGAGGAAGCCTTGATCAAAAGAACTGGCCCTGACAAGGGACCTCAGTTTCTCGCTGCTTCTGCTCTTACATGACTTCTGCATGCTGCAGGCTGGACCTCTTCTACACACAATGCGGGAGGGGAGGACACTAATATAGGCAAACTGTCACAATTCAACTTGGTCATATATGGCTTAAGAATTAGGTAGGCAGAATTCAAATGAACAATTATTATTTTGTATCTAGGACAGTCATGTCACTTTTATCTAGGATAAATTTCTGCTTAGACTAATGTGAAAAAATAGGACTGTACTGTAGTTACTGAAGCTAATCTGTGCCTTCAGACTTTGTGGCATCTTTAACTCTGATATGGTCTGTCTTTGTGCATGTAATTAGGTCTGTCTTTGTGCATGTAATTAGCTCACTGGTATCTGTATTACTAGGAAAAGAAAGTCCCTATGGAAAAGTGACTTATTTGCAGCGTAAAATTTATTTTTAGGTTGGCCTTGGACAGTTGCACTTGCACGGAGGAAGAGGAGTAGAGCAAAATCATCAGGTACCCTTTCTGTATATCTCTGATGCATACTGTATTTAGCAGAGGGGAAGAAAATATAGCTGAGACCACAGTGAAGCAAAAGTGTTTAAGTACCACCATAAAGTATTTAACGACTTCAGTAGTCTTGTTCAATAAAACTGAATTAATTCAGTAAAACTTGATCTTTATGTGACTAGTACATGGAGCTGATTTTCTTACACAATTAGTTTAAGACTAATCATCTTAGAAATGAGGTCAAAAACAAAGACCAGGTTTTCATTAAGTAGTACTTGAAACTGGCTGAGCTTTTGTACATGTAGAGTCTTCAGGATGCACTGTGCATGCATTGGTGATCATAGCCTAGTTTGTGGCTTGCAAAAATATTTTGCTTCTGTAGACAAAACAGACAACAAAAACAGTGCAACTTTCAATACTAAGGATATTAAGTGTGCATAGAAAATAGAACTTCTGCTGATGTAAGCCAACCTAGCTACTGCTTATAGAAGTTAAAATAGCTAACCTGTTCTTAAAGTATGCATTGAAAAAACGGAGAGCTGAGGCTGCACAGTCCTGAGGATTATTTCAGACTCAGCTACCAACCAGAAATTATTTAATCATCATCACATTTAAAATACCTTAAAATGACTGCTCTGTAAGGGTTCAGAGATGATATCGAGTGGTCAGAATAAATATAACCAAGCTCTGTGTAAAACTGGAATAGGAACTGGCAGATCTCCCCTTCTAAACAGGGTTTGGAGGTACAATAAGGAAGTAAGATTTACCTGTGTAGCTTGTGCATAGTAGCAGTTGTAGTATTTTTTTTTTTTCCTCTGCTTTTTGGAATACACTGAGAGGGATTGCTACTCAATATTCCGATTATAAGTGGGGAACCCTGTTACATATATTAAATTAGGTGGGATTGATAACTCTTATCCCCAGAAGAACCTGGTAACTTGGCAAACAACCTACTCACCTCTGATCTGTTTGCAAGGTACTCAAATCATAGTCGTGATTGCTAAAATACTTGTTTTCTTCCCTGCAGCGAGCATTTGAGTACTTCAATCAAGCAGCTAATGCTGGCAATTCACATGCCATGGCCTTTCTAGGAAAGGTAAGATATGAACACTCCCAAAAGTAAGTAAATTGACTGCCTTTCAATGAAAAATAACAAATACTTCCTACTTTCTGATACCAGGCAGTATAAAACTTGAATGCTGGAATCTAAGTACTTCTGTTTTGCTACTGTTTTGAATTGTCCTGCAAGATTTGAGTGTCGTAGTCTATTATGTCTAGTCTAAATTTTCTACTTGCTCCTTCACTTTAGGAGCTTTTGTTTTTTTCTAAATAGTACTTGAACTAGATTTTTTTTAAAAATTAAATAGTTAAATACCTAAATGTCCTTTTTCTGTGGTGGAGTTCAAAACTCAGAGTAGGCCACTATGCTCTTCTATACAGTGTGTGGGGAAAAGCTAGGCTTCTCAAAATTTTGCCTAGTGGGAAATACTAAGTTCAGGAAGAAAAGGGGAAAGACATCTGTGTTCTTATTCTGTGTAGAGAACTGAGGCATCTGAGTCAGAGTTGCCAATAGGTCTGCATCTACTCTGAACCAAAGCCTGAGTCTATCTGCAAGGTGGGCCATTGGATCAGTTTTCTCAGATTTAAGTCCTTTTTTAATCTAAAGCACGGTTGACAAGCTGCTATTGGTGATGTTAATGTGTTACTGCTTAGAAAGGTATTTAGGTCACTTGCCTGAGATCTGTGGTGCAGACTACCTTCACCCTGTGAGGAGCTAAATCCTTATTACTCCATTTGAGTACCCTCTAAGGTTAGGCTGCAATAAGCAGCAGCTGTAGCTCATCTTTTTCAGCCTGTCACTGCAGTAGAGGATGCAAAATTCATGTCCTCAGAGCATGAAAAACATAGCATAATGTGCTGGTCAAGGCACCTGACAGGAGAAATAGCAGGTTCCTGCTTTCTCTACTGCTTGAGTGTTTTCTGTCTAATAAATGCTGAAATGAACAGGGTTTAGTAACCAATTTTTGCTCTGTTTTCAAGAAGTATTTTAACTGCCAATATAGTTTGACTTCCACTAGTCGCACAAGGCTTGCCTGATTATGTGTTCTTCACTGCACATTGGTAGAACTCAAAAATGAAGGGTGTTTTCATGAAAACTTTTTAATTTTATGGGCAGTTCATTCTCCATTAGAAAGTTAAACTCTCTGAATCTGAATTTTACAGCATAGAGATGTTTTCTGCTTCAGGGCAAGTTCTTTAATGATTATTCAGTAATGCAATAGTCAGAATAGTCTAATAGTACAATAGACTCCCTCTCATATGCAAAGTGAAGATGCTTCATGATCTCCATGCTAAACTGACTTCTTCAGCTGTTTTTCAATAACGCCCTTCTCCTTCAGATGTACTCAGAAGGAAGTGATGTTGTACCTCAGAGCAATGAAACAGCTCTTCAGTATTTCAAGAAAGCTGCTGATATGGTATGATTATCTGTAAGCTAGAAATACCGCATATGCACTAAAAAGTTGATTAGCTCGGAAACGCTGGAAATGCTTCTTTTTGTGCACTTCCATGTCCATATACCTACTCCCAACTTCTGTCCCAGATTAGCCCGTAATTAAATCCTGCTTGTGTAAGATGTTGGAAACTGCCTCCAGTTCTGGTCATGGTGCTTCATGAAGCTGTGTTCAACAGAAGGAGTCTAACTCTCATGAATGATAGCATCAGTATGAAATACTGTCCACTTAAATAGCCTGCAATTCTGTTAAGTGTTAATTTTCATTAATCCAAAGTTGTGTTGTCACAGAAATCTACAGTGCACTGATACTATGTTATTTTGGTTCTGTTTTGTGGTCAGTGAATAGATAATGGTTTTGGGTTTACACCTCTCATCTCATTGGAGTGTTTGGTTTTTGGCTGTTAATCCCTTGTGTCTGTCTTTGACCTATCCCTTATGGTAGCATTTGTACCATTAAAGCATAAATAGTCCTCCAGGAAAGATGTTTAGCACGTGAAACACAGTAGATGAAGTTTTGAAGGGACTGTTGTAAGATAACTGTCTTCATGGTTCTTGCATTCCACAATTAGATTGCTGTTCTAAACCTCTGTCCTAGAGTAAGGATCTCTCAACTTGCTCATTTCCTACATTCACTGAAGGTTTCCAGTGTGCCCCGCTGCCTGTCCTGGCATTGAAGGAACACCATAACGCATACTTTTGCGGGCACAGTGGTCAGTAATGCAGCCCACAAGACAGCCACCAATCCGCCCTTAAATTAAGGCAGATTCTCAGAGTTCCTGTAGTTGTTTTGGGAACTTCTGTAGGATCCAGAACATCTCAAACTTGGAAAAACTAAAGACGAATAAGCTATTAATGCCCCACCTTTCTGTGGGTGTGGGTTCTAAATCTCATGTGACGCTGAAAGTGCACAGTAGATTGTCAAAACTAGTGTTGAAAGCTTTTTTCCCTGTTAATCACCTGTGTAGTTACTGAACAAAAGTTACCAAAGATGCTATTTTCTCCCTAAATAACTATTACTTACTAGGAGCAAAGTTACAAAGCAAATTTATCTTAAGCACTACTTGTTTTAGTGATGTCAGACATACCAAATCTGAAAGACATAGCTGCAGGTTTTGCCTTTCTTTGCAGAATTGTTTTCTTGTGTTTTCAGGGTAATCCAGTTGGACAGAGTGGATTAGGAATGGCTTACCTTTACGGAAGAGGTGTTCCAGTGGTAAGCTTTTGACAGTCGTCTTTGTAATCATAGGTGATTGTGTAACTTCTTGTTGTCAACAAACTTTTTTTTCTCTGGAGGGAAGTACTGTAGAAGACTTAATTGTGAAGATTTCTGTTACACTGAAAGCTCCATGAGGAAATACGTAATATAAAAAAACCTCACTGTGGAGTTAGCAGCTGTGAAACATGCTGAGTTCTCTCTAAGTTTGAAAATGTTGCTGAAGCTATTAGAAATGCATAGCAGTGTAAATTTTTGGTAGGAGTTTTGAACTTGGCTCTAATTTTCTTGTGAAATAAAACAAATCCTAACTGTCCCCATTTTGTGTATCTTGTGAGAGTGGAGGAACACTTTGAAACTTTTAATTAGTGGAACACACTGAAGCTTCTAATTAGTTCATTTGCCTTGTTGCTTTTCCCACAAGAAGGTTTCTTGTCAAATGTTTTGTATTTAGCTATGCAAACAGATATTCAAAGGTTGAATTAGCCCAAAGTTGAGGAAATAAGTTAAATAATTGTTCTAGAAACGTAACAGGGCACCTGTTCTGTTAAGCATAACTATTCATAGCAATGCTATATATGGATGCCAGCTTTGAGATAGCTACAGATTTAAGACACGCTAATATCATTGTAGGCTATTTCATTTTTTGTTTCCAAACCTTGACCAGGTGAATATTTTCACATTAGAACATCTCGCTGTAATTTTTCTGTAATATAGATATGTCCATGCACTTACACATGCACGCATATTTTCTTTCTTTACTTAAATTGTGGTGTATTGCAAGGCTCTAATGACTGGACCAAATCTTCCTGCAGAACTATGAGCTAGCACTGAAATATTTCCAGAAGGCTGCAGAACAGGGATGGGTTGATGGACAACTTCAACTAGGTTCCATGTATTACAGTAAGTGGCATCAAAATGATGGTTTGCCGGGTCTAAATATCTGCCCTTTCAGTAATTGTTCACTAGGTGGCATTAGAAGCGTAGATATACTGCATGTAGAGTGGTCTTACTGCACTGAATTTATATTTTATTCTGTTTTTTTCTAACACTTTCATAACGTTTTTCTTTAATAATTTTAAAGAGTAAAAACATACTGTATTTCATACAATATTCCTTTTAAAGAGGAATGAATAGCAATGACTTATTCTTTCTTTTAGATGGCATTGGAGTCAAGAGAGACTATAAACAAGCTTTAAAATATTTTAACTTGGCCTCCCAGGGTGGCCATATTCTGGCTTTTTATAATCTGGCTCAGATGCATGCTACTGGCACTGGAGTGATGCGATCCTGTCATACTGCTGTTGAGGTAAGGTCATCTATTTACAAAGGTCAAATAATACTGACTTGCAAAAGGTTGGATATAACCACGTCAGCTTATATAGGAAATCTGTGTTAGCTAAAATCCACTGGTGACTGCAGAGGCAAGGCTATCAAAAGGAAGAGTGATATGTTACCAAACTCCTTTGTATCTCATGAGAAAAATCTTTTTTTTTTTATGTTGATATGGCAAATTTGTATCTGCTTTATTCACTGAAGAAAATCAAAAGAATGTAATACAAAGCAAACATCAGTATTTTTGCAAGTACTGCATTCTTCATTTAGACATGGGTTTAAGTGTAACAAAAAAGCTGATATTAAGAATAATTCTGAGTAAGCATCTTGGCATGTCTTTTCTTAGTAACCTGTATCTTAAAGTACGCCTGTCTTAAGCAGTGAGTTCGTCTATCAAGGTTTTTCCTGTGAAATGTAAATATTTTGAACAGGCATTTGAATGTTAAAGGTTTACCTCTTGCAAAACCTGAATTTCTGAAGTTCTTGTTAACCAGTCTTCTCCCTCTTTTTTTCATCTGTAGTTGTTTAAGAATGTATGCGAACGGGGGCGTTGGTCTGAAAGACTGATGACTGCCTACAACAGCTATAAAGATGGTGATTCAAATTCTGCTGTGGTTCAATATCTTCTTCTGGCAGAACAAGGCTACGAAGTTGCACAAAGCAATGCTGCTTTCATACTTGATCAGAGTAAGGACCTGAATTTGTACTGAAAGGTTTTTTTTTTTTTGAGTTGGCCTGCAGTAGCCCATTTAGTAGAATGCTAGAGGCAAAATTACATAGCTCTTGTTCAGTTAGAACTTCAGTGAGAATCTTGTCCTCTTTGCTTTCCAGTGGGAAGAGCAGGAGTCAGTTTTAATTTTCACCTCTAAGGATAGCTCTCTGGCCTAAAAGTTAGAGTACACTCAAATTCTGACTTAGGGGATTTAAAAAATGGGATAGGGAGAGAATGCTTTAGAAACTTCGACAGTGCTGAAAATTTTCTTCCCTGGACTTCCTAAACACAGCCTTAACATTTTATTTTTAAATCTATAAAGTGTAGGAATTGCATTAGTTTTACCTCTGGCCTTTACTATGTGTACAAGCTTCAGTTTCCTTTGTTCTTTATCTTGTAATGTCTTTTCTCAGCACTTTTTTCAGATTTTTTTTGCAACTTTACTCATAGCAGGGATGAAGAGCTGGGCAGTTGGTTGTGTTAAATTTGAAAAAACTTGTCCCAGGTCTCTTAGTGCAACTAGATGGCTAGAACTTGGATTTCTTAGAGTTTGAGGTCATAGGGAAACAATGGAAGTACAAGTGACAAATCTTTCTAGAAACTACAAACCCCAGTATTTTAAACTTTTCTGGATCTTAAATCCAGAAATCTAAATGTCTCATTACCAGCTTTAGGGCTTTGTATTTTAATATAAAAATCAGCTATTGGTGGCCGATAGGCTAATCTAACATCTTAATTTCCGGTTAATGTTTTTCAAAGGTGCCTTAGTGACTCATCTTTAGATAAGCTACAGCAATGACAGTCTTGGCTGGGAGTGCATTCTTGCAAAGAAACAGCATCTTTCCCCGTGTTAAAATTCTGATTGTCATTACTCAGATCTATCTGCATCTTGACTGGAGATGAATTGAAAATTATTTTATACACTTTGTACAGAAAAAGCTGTATGTCAACTGTGAGATAGTATAGCTGAAACCATACTTATACTAGAAGTGAAAAAAGTTATAAATCCTTTGAACTGTCTGAATTCTGATACTTCAGCAACCTTCAATTTATGACATGGACAAGTAAAATAAATTCTGTTCTGAAGTAACTGTAGCACTGCTGTGTAAAATATGCAGTCTCCGGCTAGTTAATGAGTTTAAGTCTTCGTTTTACTTGAGTCTTGTTTTTTTGATGGTCAAACTAAAATAGCTTATACTTTAGCCTTGTATTTGAGTGCCCCTTTGTCAGAGCCTGAATTGTGTGCTCTTAAGACTTGCATCTTCTGGCATTCCTCAAGTATGCTTCAGAATCTCCTAGAGCAGGAGTGGGAGACACGCTTGGTAAGCAATATTTCAGGGTGAAATGATACAGTTTGTTCCTAGCTCTTACGTGGGCAGATATATGGAAAGACCATATAAATGAAAGGGGTTTTGATAAGCTTCAGATGGGTTCAATCTTGTTTGTGCTATAGCACAGATGACTTCAAGTTTTTAATTCATTTCAGCAGACTGAATATAAGCATGGGGGGGTTTTGTGGTCTTGTGTGCGTATACCATGCTCCTATTTAACTGAATTACTTTCTTCTCTAGAAGAAGCTAGCATAGTAGGAGAAAATGAAACCTATCCTCGAGCTTTGCTTCACTGGAACAGAGCAGCTTCTCAAGGTATGTCTGTACCTCACAATTCCAAGTAGTTTATTTTTAGTAGAGCCATTAATGTTTGATTTCCTCTTTCATAAAAAAACATGGAAGGAGGGAAAGCTTACCTCCTTCTGTTCAACATTAGTTATATTCCACATAGGGTAGTTGCTGTTCTTTATTCTACTGTTAGCTATAATGTCATTGCAATATGCTTGCAGTTCTGAGCCATTCTGAAATCCTGAAGATTAAAAGGACTAAAACACAAATGTACGGTGCATTTCTTTTGCCATTCCATATGGGATTATAGAGCAGTGTTAAACAGTATTAGGAATGTTTACACTGACTTTTCTAAAAATAAATCCACTTGGAAAAATAGATACAAAGTACCCTTCAGGATTTTGGTACTTGTCATCATTTATAAGAAATGCAATTTCCTATTCAAAGCAAGCAAAGCTCAGTGATGAAGAATGCAGTCTTGATGTCCAACCAACCCAAGTTTAAACTCTGGTGCTTGTGATCATCTCCTAAAATAAGCAAAACTAAACTTGATCATTAAATATCTTGGTGTGAGGTCCCTAACTTTCACACAGGTGCATCTACATTAATGTCTGTCTACTAGCTTTTTACTTAAGAGCAAGTGTATCATGCAAATGGAGCCTAAGAGTTTTGTCTGAAAATCTTCAGACCTACTTGGCTTTTAGTAGAAAGTTAGAAATTGAGAGGATGGAATGGTTAAGTATTCAATTACCAAATGATGATGAGAGACTTTATTTTTCAAGTTTTCGGTGTCTCTGTTCTAAAAACAAAGCTGAAGCCCTTAATGACCATATAACAAATGAAAAGTTTTTCTGTAGTAAGTGACTATGAACATTATTATACAGCTTTTCAACTGATGCCACTAAACAGCAAGAAAAATGTTGGTAGGATTACTGGGAACAGGACTTCCTGAAAATAGATATCAGTTGCATTTTGGTGAGCTAAACCCAATTTAAAAAAAAAGCTGTTTATGTGAGAGAGGGGAAGAAGAGAAACGGTTTGTGTAAACTGTGGAAAGTAATACTAAAGTCCTTATTTGCGTCTTCATATGAAACTAAAAGGCTTTCTTTGCCTAGCTATTTTATCTTTTTTGTTGTGTCTTGATTTATAGGATATACTGTTGCAAGAATTAAACTTGGAGATTACCATTTTTATGGTTTTGGTACTGATGTTGATTATGAAACTGCATTTATTCACTATCGACTGGCATCAGAGCAACAGCACAGTGCCCAAGCAATGTTTAATCTGGGATACATGCATGAGAAGGGATTGGGCATCAAGCAGGTGAGTAAGCTGTAGGCTGATAGTCTGCTTCATTACAGTGCACTTACTAATATTAGAATAAGTCCGTAACCACTACTGGGCTTTGGGCACTATATAACCACTTAGTAGGAATTAGCCTGTCCCCCAATACATTCTCCAATAGCAAATGGGTAAGTATATCCACTTCACACTTACCTATGTGAAGAAATGAGGCCTAGACAAGGAAAAAACTATTTGCCCAAAATTGTGAAGATTTAGCAAAGAGTGCCATATGCTTGAGTAATGCTTTCAAGACTTTGAAGTGTAATTAAATGAATGCAAATCAATTCCGGGTTCAGAGTATTTTAGCACAAGATTGTTCTCATCCTCTGAAACACTGGTTAATTTATTTTCTATATCATGACATTTTGAAAACAAGTTCTGTGCATCTTCAAGTAACAAACCATAAGCACCAACAACAATGTGATTATTAGCTGTGGTTTTTCAAATTAGGCTAGGCCACAATTTGCTTTACAAACTACATTGCTTAAAAGAAGGCAGTATATCTGGTTCTCCTAGGAAGCCTATGGTGTATTGCTGTCCATGAGTTAACTAAAACTTACGGAATCCAGAGCAACATGTTTTTGTATGTGTCAAAATGATGTAATTAGTAATTGCATACTAATTTTGAGCAGCTACCTTACCTTAATGTATGATTAATTCATGTAATTAATGTATGAATGTAGTAATATTTTCTGGGTTACCTGAAACTGTAAGAAATGGTTTCATTTTCCTTGTTTTCAGTGAGCTTCAACATTTGGTTTTTGTCTAGGTATGCACCTTTTAATTATTCTGTTGGTCCATTAAAAGACCAATTTTTGCTTCTTTTCCCCTAAATTCTTGGCAAAAGGTCAGAACAGCGAAGGGCAAGTCTTAGGTCAATATTGTTAACTTTGGCAGCAGCAAGCAATCAACATTTGAAAACTGCTTACTCACCTAGTTGTAGAAGTGACAATCCAGTACACAAACAGCATTATTTCTAAAGCTTATCTTCAAATTTTATTTTAGGACTGTTTGTTTTCTCTTTTTAACTGAGTCCTCAAAACTAGCTAACTTCTGAAAATGAGCCTGCAGCTAAAAGCAACAGTGCTAAAGTTGGGAGGTTTTCTTTTAAAAAAACAAAAAACAAACAAAAAAAAAATACTTTTCAGGCATGGACTTCTTTATTTCTTTTGCCTTCTGTCTTGAAAACAGCCCAATTTGAGCAATTAGTAAAAACTTTGAAAATGTTATTACGTCATGTTCAGCATAACTGCTAAGAATTTGAGAAAAATGAGTCCTAATGCTGTCATTTGCACAGAGTATTCTCCAACCTGAAGCAGAGATGGCTACACAGAGATAGCTGAAATGAGTACACAGGGGTTCACGATGAGCATATGCAGCCTTGCTTTATGCGGATGAATAATACTTTCCTCTCATACAGATCCACTATGCAAGGAAGAGTTGAACTGCAAGGGAAGTGGAGATAGTTAATATAGATATGGGAAAGAAGCACTGAGAACGTCTAAGCAAGGAAATTCCATGTATAACACTAGTCTTAGGAATTCTGAATATGTAATGTCTTTGCTTGCTGTGTCCTAAAACTTTACAACTGTAAGATAAGAGGATGGAGATTTAGGACTGACTAGATAACACTAAAATGGCGCTGGGCTAGGATATTCTGAAAAAGGCTAAGACTGAGTTTTGAATGAAGCAAAAGAATATTTGGCTTTCCTTTCCCAGAATTGAAACTGCTGAATTTTGAGCACCTCTGACAATGACTGACAGTTAAAATCATGCTTCCTGATGTAGCAGGTGATGTCTACCACTGAAGTCCCTTCCATAGGCCTCTAGTGGAAGAACAGACATACAAAGACTTTAGCACTGTAGTATCTAACAAATTGGGGATTTAATCTGTTGAAGAAAGGAATGTGTACTCTTACTCTCTCCCCACCTATGTCCACATCATTAAGATTGCAAGCACTCTAAAGTTTGGGAGAATGATCAGTAATGTGGCCTGCACGACTTCAATGCAGGTCACTGTTCGTTCTGGATAATCCTGAATAAATACAGTATTTCTTACTGGTTTTTTTTCCCCAAACAGCTTTTGCCTTATTCTCTTTACTTATTGAATAAATAGTCTTTCTCACATACAGGATTCTAAGCTATATTTCCTGTACATAGATGGTTTTCAGACTCATACCAGGTCAATGCCAAATATTAAGCCCCTTGAGGAATCTCACACGTGTACACTGTTACACACTTTTCATAGATTTAATGTTGTCCAATTCCTGAGCCTGCATGTCAGAATGAAGACCATTTCCATATACTGCTCAAAATAAGAACAAATTAATTTTCTTGAATTAATTTTCTCATGGTCTTCTCTTAAGATTTGGCATAGTATTTCAGTGCTATTTGTGTGTTAAAGCTCAGATTCCTACAGTTCTCGTCTGTCAAGTGAAAGTGAACAATATATAAGCAAAACAAAGTGCTTGCTAATTAGAAATGAAAATAAGCCATGATTTAGGATCTGCTTCTACATTGATACTAGCACAGTACAAAGGAGGTAAGGAAACTCTTTTAAATAGTTATACAAAAGACAGAATTTTGAGGCTCAAGGAGTATTCAGAGTTGTTCTATTGAATTAAAATACTAAAGTGTGAGCTAGTACATCTCATTCACATAATGTGTTGATTTTCATACTGTTATTTCCACATGTGTTATGGAACTAAGCTTTGCTGTATCAATGAGCAGAAAATCTTTATGGTATTTCACAATCAGGATAAAATTATAAAATGAACATGTGGCATGAAGTCCTGGAGATTTCTCTTATTTTAAGTGTCCAACTTGGAACACTTCAGAGGTAAGTCTTGCACAGGCCTGTCCTTCACAGTACTGAATGAACGCAGGCAGTTTGTATCCAAGTGTCCTAACATTGCACAGTATGTATCTGAAGTGGAGCAAAAAAAACCCCAAACAAACAAGGAAAGTTAAACTATTCAGGTACACGTATCCTCTGTTCTTCATGCTACAGTTGCCTTATTGTTCCAACTACCACAGAAGAGAACGCTAATTTAAGCTCTAGGAAGTTGCTGGCTGTTTGTGCTCATGCTTTTGCCAGGCTGCTCTCACTAATGCAAGTTATGTCTGTTTTGGATAAGGAGTAGAATATAATTTGGGAGTATGTGCAGAAATGGTTAGAAGCTGCACTATGCAGCAGGCATACTGTAATGTAACTGGGAGGAGTTGCTGCTGTGTATTCCTCTATGACTTGTGTTTTCTTAGTCTTTCATGTTTGGTGTGGTGTGGAGATGTTGGAGTGTACTGGAGTTACCTCAATATGTGCTTTAGTTTACAGTGCATGGGTTGAATACGTTAATACTAATCTCTTTGTGAGCTTCAATTCTAGCATCAGTTACAATAGCTTCATTCTCAGATCGAAGCTTCCCTTTACTTGTCTATTCAAAGGTGAACATCCATCAGAAAAAAGGGGAAGTTTTACTGAATGGTTTTTGTTTAACTTGACCAAAAACCTTGTAGTCAAATGACAGTATACATTAGCTTACAGAAAAAGCTCTACATTTTATGGTTAATTTTTCAAGTTCTTCAAAATTGAGCTTTGTATTTTATTAACTTTAGGATATTCATCTTGCAAAACGATTCTATGACATGGCAGCTGAAGCAAGCCCAGATGCTCAGGTTCCAGTCTTCCTAGCACTTTGCAAGCTTGGAGTGATTTATTCCTTGCAGTATGTACGAGAAATCAATGTAAGTAATGCAGAATTAAAAGGAAGAACAACAAATGTGTTTTCCATTTTTAAAAGAAGCTTGAGTTGTAATCTTAAGTAGAAGTCTTACTTGAGCCTTCTGAATGTGTTTTGTGTTCTTGCATATTAAGAAAGTTACTGAAGCTGTGATTCCTATTTCTTGTTTGTGCAATTGTGTGAAACTGAAGTGTGCTCAGCCAGTGCTCTTCTGTGCTGTTCTTCCCTTGAAGAGAATTTCTCTAACCTGTTTGACTGTTCCTATCCATGACCATCTGCTATCAAAGTTAAGCAGATGATTACAATGACATAATCACTGTTCAGGAAAAAAGAAATACTTTTTGTAGCCCTAATTCTCATGCTGTTTTATCTTCAGCTGTAACAATCCCACTTAAGTCGTGTTTGATTTCTATGGGGAAAAAATATTATTTTTATTAGATAGTTAAGCTTTTGTGCAGAGCTTCTGCTGAGTGATGGCACTGAAAAAATACTTGCCTGGAATTTAGGTGAATTCTTTCCAAGCAGTGTCTGAAATATTTCTCAGCATTCTGACATCTTACTGCCTTTTGGATTACTTAATAAATTCAAATGGTACAGAAGTTATTACCACTTAGAGCAAATGCAAGTTCAGGCAATCCAGTTAAGTTTGACAAATTTTAATAGTCTTGAGGCTGGGGACTTTCAGGAGTGGACAGTCAAAATACTCTAAATCAATTGAGCAAATACCCGCGTAGCACTCGCAGAAGCTAGTATGCAGAACACGGATATTCCAAGTTTTAAGTCTGCTGATGCAGACTTAAATTGACAATGACTCTGTAGTACCATCAGATACAGTAGTGAAGCATAAAGTGTGTTGGCTAACGCTTATGCAAATGGCAGTCTGATAAAAAGGCAGTTCAATCAAAACTAACAGTAAGTCACTTTAACTTCCCTGTACCTTACCTGCACAAATCTCAGCATTGTACCACGTAAGTATCCTGGGGCTTAATGTTCTGTCATTCATGGTAATCTGCTGCTGGCTTCCAGTTTGGCTGGACTGATCAGTTCACTGCCTCTGTGTATGTGGTACTTGCTCCTCTTTCTGTAAGACAACTAGTATGGTTACATACCTCATTCTGATTTAAATTGTGCGCTTTAATGCTTTTTGTGTGAAAGCCACAAAGCTACGTATCAAGCACCTTCATCTCTAGAACAGAAAATAGAATAGTTCATCCTATATAGCATGGCTCTTAGTCTTATTGGCATTTTGTTCCTGGAAATTAAGAATGTCACTGATGTGATACTATTTTTTTCACAGAGGAAAAGAGCTACTGAAGTTTTAAAACTGGTGCTTGTACATGAAAAATGTTACAAGTCAAATTTAAAATCAATGTAACTTCCCATTCTTGCTCTTTGACATGATGATGTGGACTTCTTGTTTCTTAGATAAGGGAGGTATTTTCACATATTGATATGGACCAGCTGCTGGGGCCTGAGTGGGACCTTTACCTTATGACCATCATCGCCTTGCTTCTGGGAACAATTATAGCTTACAGACAAAGGCAACATCAGGCAATTCCCAGACCAGCAGGACTGCGGCCAGCTGTGCCTCAACAAGAACCACCACCAGAGCATCAACCACCACAATAGCAACAAGAGCCTCAATGCAAGAACTGGATTTTTCCAAAAGGAACAATTTTCATTGTGATTTAGGACTTTGGATCAACGGTCCCTCCCCTAAAAGAGGCGCAAAGAAGTTTAAAAAAAAAAAAGTCTGAAAGCTGCTTAGAATGATGCCTTTTTTCAGGGATAAGAAAATTCTTTTGAAACTGATCTGAATGTTATTTCAGTGCCAATGGAATAACACTATGGCTTTTTTCATGGAAACACAAGAGTGCTACTACAAAAATGTTGCCTGCTGTATCTAGTTCCTCTTTATTCAGAGTCCTTTTCGTCTCCTAGAGAGAGCAGAAGGCTAGCGTTGGAAGGTTTTTGCCTGCTTGATAGCAGTCGCCCTATATAAAAGTAATAACAATAATTTTATGGCCAATTTAAGTCCAAGAAGCTGAACTATAGTCAAACTCTAAAAAGACTAGACCTGTGTGAACTTATATTCTGATCTGCATCCCAAGTATTTCTACAATCCTTATTTTGTTATTTCTTAGTATTTCTTACACTCTGGTCTTTTATGCTGTCTTGGATGGTTTAACATGGATTACTTATAAACTCTGTAAAACTAAGCCAGCAAACATGCCACTCTCCACTTGTGCTTTTTTGTTTTGAGTTTTTTTTCTCCATTCCCCTTAGACAAGACAGTTCTCAGCAGACAGACAGTATGTAGCCCAGGAGGCAGATTGGGACAGATTGGGTCTGTAAAGCTTATCAGTTGAAAACTATCCACACAGTACCCAGATCTCGCATCCTTCTAAAACTTTTTTTGGAGCCTGTGTACTTTGCAATACTTCATGACATAATAACAAATTGGTAGTGTTCCTAAATTATTTAAACTTGCTTTTACGAAGAGGCTGAGTCTAGATTGCAGAAAGCACCAGTATTATTGTGGACGCTGAAGAAAGGACAGAGCCAGAAATCTCAGTGAGTTAGCTTACTCTTTTTTTTATTTTTAGAGGTGGAAGTTCTGCATTTAATTTTCAACAATCCTGTAAGTGATCTGCACTGCAAGAAGGAAATGTATGTGGTATCTCATGCATGCATCTGTTTAATGCATCTACAAAAAAGGGCTCCAAAGATGCATACTCTCTACAAAAGGGCATGGGCTTACGCCAGTGATGCTACTCCAAAGTTTGGCTGACTGATAAAAATCGTATATTAGACTACAGCAGTGCTCTGGCTGTTGCCAACCTGGCATACATGAGAAAGTCAAAATAACATCTCTGGCTGTGCCATCTTGAGGATCCCTTGTAACAAGAAAATCCAAAGAGAAAGAAGACTAATGGTTTATGGCTTCTTGATACCACCAGGTCAGTGCAAAGGCCTTTTAATGAGTGTAAAGAATACAACCTGTGGACTGATGTTTTTTAGACTGCAAGAGGAATCTTCACTTAGTAACAATTTTCATTGAACTGTAATTTCAGGGGTTGGGGGTGGGAAGCAGCGGGGGAGTAGCTTAGAGGCAAGAAATGCGGAAGTTTCTGTTCTTACTTATCAATGGTAGTTAAATATTTGTTTCTGTACTAGCATTAAACCCTGTGAATATACTGTCTTAAAGCTGAATGAAATACTAATGAGGAGGCTTTAGCTGCTTTCTGACAAAAGCTGTTCTGCTTAAAGGGTTAAGGGCTTCCTTTCATGCAAATACTTTTCCAGTGGATTGGCAGCAACATATCAATACGCTTTATTTAGAATTGAGATTTTAGTATGGTTTCATACTTAGTACATTTGTAAGGAGACCGCTGCACAATAGATCTGTAGTTTGGGAAAGAAGATAAGCAATCCACTCTTTTGTAAACTGAAATGTCATGGATGACTAGTATTAAAATATAGGTATAACTTCTCAGTACTTCAAAATGCTTATGCTGGTTATATGACGACAAATCTTTCATTTTAGTTTGGAGGGTTGCAGCATGTGATAGAGGAATGTCTTGTTCAGTCTTAATCATCATTAGCAGATGGAACAGTATTGAACTTAAATGTAGTGTCTAAAATGTACAGCACTCCCCAGCTGCCTTTCTAAGATATCTGTGACTTCTGAACACTCCCTCTGAAGTATTTTTGCCTCTGTCACTTAATAGCTCTTTTTAGCTTGGCATGAATAAATTAAAGACTATATAGAAAATGTTTTTCAGTTAAATACCATTGGTTCATTGGTATTGGTCTCTTAGGACGTTTAACAATTTTGTTACTACATTATTAAAATGTTTTGGTTGTTTGATCTATTAGAACTGAATTCTAAAAGCTCTATCCTATTTGCATGAGAATCTCTCATCACTGCTGCTATGTGACAGTCTTATAGCCGACTTTCACTGAACCTGATGCATTTTTACATCCAAGAAATCAGCAGAAGAAAACGATTGAAGATCAGCAAGTTATTTCACTTTAAAGAACTGCTTTTTGAAGAAGCAATAAGGAAGTCTTTCTCCTGCTTTTTTTCCCTTCCACCAAATTACTACCACTAAATTTTTCAGATGACATTCATTTGAATGAAGTGGTAGTAGTGAAAAGGTACTTACCATAAGTAATGGCGAGTTAACTCAGGGATTAAAGAAATTAATAAGTTTTCCAAATCAGTTGTCTACAACATCACAAGTTTTTGTGACAATCCCTTGCTACTCTGTTCTGAAACTTGCATTTTGAGGGAAGTATACTTAACTCTTGCTAGTGGTATGTTTCTTGTGCACTCAGTTTATTGAGCAGCTTTTTTCCTAAAGGAGCTGAGTTGCTCAGTTTACTGCAGTGAAGTACTACTCCCTTTTGGTAGCACACAGGTTGTCCTACAGTTTATATGCAGGAGTATTTTAGAAGGGAAACTTGATTTAAGAGAAGCCTTTCTGGGTATGTTCAGCATGCTTTGAACGGAAAAATTGTATTCTTGGTCTGTAGTAACGTAGGCTGGAGTCTGCCTATTTGACCTTCCCGGATATACACTCTTCTCTCCCCACACCGAGAATGGAACTACAGAGCAGTAACTGTTGTTGATGGGAGTTTTATATGTAGGAAAACTGTGGAAAGATACAGGGGAAAACATTGTTATGCATCTCAAATTATTAATCAAACACACTAGCTGTTCTTGCTGGTTGAAAGAAACGCTGAACTATTGAGAAAACAGGATTCTGGTTCATCCTTGGTGAAACTTGTCCCAGAGCTGTCTGTTGAAATAATTTTCCTTGCTTCATATTGTCCATCATGGGACAATGTAGTAGAAAAGGCCTTTGATACAAACATCCCAATGAGACTTATGAGACAGTTTTACTCGCTTTTTAGTCATCTTCCGTAAGTCAGCTACTCTTATTAAAGTAAAAAAACAAAAAAACAAAACCCAAAAACTATCAAATGTTATTCTTTTTGGAGAAGAATTAAAACATGGATTGTGAAAGGACTTTTTAAGACTATGCATTATCTAGTTTCCACCTATTATATGCTAGTTTAGGCCTATAAAAGGGGATCACGCTCACCTTTGCAAGTTGCTTCCTTTTTAGATAGGCAACAATGAACTGAAATTCTATTTTTGTTTCAGAGAATATTAAACTAAAAATATTTAGTTTGATTTGAACTACTGCAAATGCATATGGCAAATAGGGACTATTGGGGGGAACCCTTTGTTTTTATCAGCTGCAGTTCTTTAAAGGGTCTTGTAGGAGTTTTGTAAATTTATTTTGTATTTAAAATCAGTATAAAGGCTGGTCAAATGTAATATAATTATGTAAACAAATTCTGTTAATAGAAAGATGTACAGATTCATTTTGTACTGTATCTTTAATCTTGTGAAATAAAGATACCACCTGTGTGGTTACCATCAGTGTTCACAGTGGTTATGATAACAGAGGATGTCAATTGTTAGTTGTATGCACTGATATATGCCACTGCTAAATGCATCCTTCCCTATAAGTATACTCACACTTCTTTCACTTCTATTCCTCCTCCAAAAAAAAAAATCTGTGAATTTAGGAGGGCCATAGAAAGGGGAATAGAAAACTATGCATTGTATCTTCAGCTGTGCTAGAAACTTGCCCGCTGTGTGAGTGTATGTGTGTGACCCTTTCTTCAGCGTATACAGCATCTGTACTGCGTGTGGCAGACACAGAACTGCTGTGTGATTTGAGAATAGTGACCGGTAATTTAGGATTACTATTGCATTTTCAGTACTGATACAGGGATAATACAGTGACTAGAAACAGATACTGGGGGAGGGACTACTCCAAGCTGCTAAGTTTGCTTGCTTTTCAGGCCTTTTTTGACCCACTCATCTCTTCAGGCTCCACCTGTTGAGACCGAGTCTTCCCTCGTAAATGTATTATGTTGGTTTGCTTTCCAATGTGCTTACTAATGTGAAAGAAAACAATTGGGGAGAAGGAAAGTAAGGAGAGTGAGGGAGCAATGATAATGGCTATGGAAGGCATCCATAGGTGAACTGTCTGGGGCATCAGCCCAAGTTACATAGTTTTCTGAAGTATTCAGAGGCTTCCCATGTTGTCTGCTGCTGCTAATAGCACTTGTTGCAGGTAGGAAACAGAACTGCTGGTACTAAAACCAGCTTGAGTCTGACTGATGTAGCTCAAGTTTAGTGAGGTCATCCCTCACCTTCCAAAAGAGCCCGTGGCTTGAGATGTGATTGCTGATATGCTCAAGTGAGGTTGGGTCAGAAGTGTAGATACCTGATTTTACTTGTAGCCTGTAGTCAATAGTGAGTTATTTTCTGTGGTGGGAATAGAGTACCAGATATATAAATGTGG